CCAAACAAATTAAAGTATAGGTACGAAAATTCACATTTTTAGAAGTTGAGGTATGCGTAAGCACAGCTAAAAAGTACAGGTAGCAAATGGTACCAGAGAAGCCAGTTGAGGCATGAATAGGCCGCTTTCCCGTAAGTCTTCTTAAACCGAATGCTTAAAGCTAATTGTAGAGTATAGAAGCCCGAAACTAAAGGTTCCAATTAATACTTGGAGAATTTTGTAGAGTTTTTATTCTAGTTTTGGGTTGTTAGATTTTAGTTTTCAGTTTTTTGATAAATCCAAAATAAATTGGTTTGGATGGAGTAGTTTTTTATATATATATATATATATATATATACATGGTTTATTTGGCGCAGAGTATCATTATATATGATTGGAACTAAAAGATTTTAGGTTCACCGTCTTATGTTTTGATAAATTTAAACAGTATATAAATTATATATAATTTAACTTAGATTTGAATTAGTTTTCCAAGTGGTTGCTTATTTTGTTAGGTATTGTGGTTTGGTTCGGTTGGAAAAGCCGTTATTCGACAATCTAATAAATTTTCCCTCCCATAAGAGATTATTGGAATTTTCTTTTTTTGGTCGAAGATTATTCGAAATTATGAGCTAGATTTCGAACATTGATTCTACTCTGGGCTTGAAGGCCCATTAATAAACCTATTTTGATCCACGTGACCCAAATTATACTCGAGTCAATTTGCACCGGTGGTGCGTTCATCGCCGTTCGTTTCACCGGCGCATCTCTGTCCTCCTTCTCTTTCCGTCACTGAATAATTGATCTCTCATCGTAAACCATGAGAGAAGCGGTGGCAGACTGCAGCAAGGCGCTATCCTCTTCCTCCATCGCCGTCTGACTTGGCTTTTTTTTCTTTTCTTTTTTTCCCGAGCGGGCGATAAAGATCAATGCTTGAGGTGTATGTTCAGATTCGAGTGATCCAATGATGTTCAGATTCGTCGGATTCCATTGGTGAGACTGAGAATGTTTGGTGAAAACTTTTTGTTGGTTTCCTTGATAAAGTGGTTTTTTTTTCCCCGGTTAAAAACTTCTGAAAGTGTTCTGTAACCTTTGTCTCGTCTTTTTTATAATTTTTATTTTTATTTGGCTTACAAGTATCTTATAATTATAGCTTGATATGAACTGGCAAACAAAGTCCTGGTCTCCTACAAAATTGTTAATTTTATCTTCAGATTTCTGAATATAATAAAATAACATGATCAATAAAACCAGCCTTGTGGATTGTTGTGACTAATAGAGGATGATAAAATTGTTTAAGCCGGTCTCTTAAAATTTATATAAAATATATAAGCACGTCTTCTTGTCTCCATTGGCATTTTGTTGAATTTCCTGCTCAATTTGTTTCTTTAATCAAATTTGATCAGTATCTTCATATCTTGATTTCATTCAGTCGATTTTGTATTTCTGGAGCTAAAATAGTTTCTTTTTGTTGGTAGCATTGTTTGTCATTGATTTTCTTTTTGGTATTCCCACATGAGAAGTACTTAGCTGATGTAGTAGTAATGGCGTCTTTTCTGCGAGTCATTGGTAAGTTGAGCTGTGGTTTCTTTCTTTTGTGATCTTGTTTGATAGTAATTCATTAATGGGAGGGGAACACATTTAATCTTTTAACCAAGATCCCCCATTGATGAAATCTAAGTCAATTCTTGAGTCTGTTCAACTTGTTGGGTTAGATGCCTTAAAACACCATTGTTATGTTATACATTACTGTATTGGTTTTCTTGATAATTATGTTTTTGTTTTTGTTTCTCTCATGTATGTCAGTTCTATCATGGGCTTTTACGGTTGCGTGGTTTACCCTGTGGATGTTGATGCTATACTTGACGAACGAGATGAAGCTCAAGTTCACGGACGCAGCTGCAATTGTGAATGTGTTTGCTGGTGTATCAGCTATTGGTCATCTTGGCATGCAGTTTCTTGTTGATGCATTTATTGGTCACTTTTGGATGCTCTGCCTCTCTACTTTAGCATTCAGTTTCGTAAGACCTTGACCTCCTTTGTTTTTTTTAGTATATGATTAGGTTTTTTCTTAAGTGAAAAACTTACGCTCTTTCGTATGTTCAGGGTTTCGGGTTCTTGGCAATATCAGCGTCACCAATACTCTCTGGTGGAGGACAAAAGGGGCTTTTCTACGTAGCGCTAACTGTTATATCCGTTGGTATATTTGGACGGTCGATCTCTTTGGGAGTGTTTACAGAAGAGCAACTAGAAGACAGTGGGAACAAGGGAAACCCGGCCATGCTCACTAGCTTTGTCGTTGGAAACGTTGGGAATTTTGTGTTCCCTTTGCTTGCTGCTATTGCACTTCCTCAGATAAGTCCATGGTTTGTTAGATTCGCGATCCCTGCTGGGCTGCGAGATTCTAGCAATGCTGGTTTTTCTGTCCGGTGCTTGTTCATACAAACGGGAGAAACCAGTTGGAAGCCCTTTGACAACAGTTTTACGTGTCTTTGCGGCTTCTGCTTCCAAAATGTCTTGTCGTTACCCGAACAACTCAACACAGCTTTATGAACAGACAGAGTGTGATCCTGATATGAAGCCTCACACAAGTAGCTTGAGGTTTGATACATTAGCGACTTAATAAGCTCTTGTGTTGTTTACTTGTTTATGTATGTAGCTCCTTGCTAACTCTTGGATATCAAACTCAGGTGCTTGGACAAAGCGGCGATGATACTCCAAACAGAGTCCTTGGAACAACAGAGGAAAAACAGATGGAGGCTTTGTAGGGTCACGGAAGTGGAGCAGACCAAAAGCGTCGTACGCACGGTTCCATTATTCACAACATCTCTCATCTCCGGGATTGTCTTCTCCCTCGGTAACACTTTCTTTCTCGAACAAGCAAATAATTTGGACTCCAAGTTCGGATCTTGGAATCTCCCTCTCCCACTCCTCTTACTCTTTAGTGAGGCTGCAAGGTTAGGATCACGGGAACTATGCGTCATGGCTGCAAAACGCAACGGCCTTGGCCACGAATCACCAAAACAAACCAAGACGCCATACGGTATACCAGTCTCCATCATCCTATCGATATTCTGCTGCGCCATCGCTGCACACGTTGAGTCCAGGAGGCTCAAAGTGGTTAGAACTCAAGGTTTGCTCAATGAAACCGTCCCAATGAGTGTTTTCTGGCTGCTCCCACAGTACATTCTGCTCGGGTCAATAACTGGAATCTACGAGAACAGCTTTGCGCTTTACCTAGAAGAAACAGTCCCTGAAGAGTTAAGCCAATACATGGTTCTGTTTAACGTGGGCTTGTGCGGTGTCGGAATCATGAGCAATATAGCTCTTGTTAGTGTGGTGGGCAGAGTTAGCGGAGGCAGATGGTTTCAAGACACAATAGACAAGAGCCGGTTGGATAATTACTACTGGGTTTTAACAGTTTTGAGCATGTTCAATCTATTGTTGTATTTCTCCGTAACTTATAGGTACACAATGTGCTACAAGAAAGATAGTGCAGCGCAAGAAAATGATCGGCAAACGATCGGTTTTTGTGTACTTTGATGTGCCAAAGATATTCAATTGTATGTACTAATAGGTCCATGAGCTAGATGAGGTGATTGAGTTGTGGCTTGAGACAAATAACGGCACGCTATGCTGCTCAGTCTTGTCTAAACGGCATGATATGTTAATAGTTGACAAGTGATTTCTCTGCCTTTTTATCTTCCTGATGTGAGAGAGTCATGTCATGTCCATGAAGCATCCAAAACAATCAAATTTGTATTAATGGTCTTCCTTCAAAGTCAGATATGGAGATACCTCTCGTATTAAGTAACAGGCCAGGACACTTATCTCTCAAACATGGTTCAGATTAAACCTTCATCTTCATCCAATTTTGGCCTCTATCGCTTCACTTCACTGCTGCTTCACACGAGATTCATAATCATACGGTAATAGTTAATCCTTCATCTCATCTGTAAGCTCAAAGTGTAATATTCAAATGATACCTCCTTTGGAAAGATGTATAAAAGTAGGATTTACTACTTAGAAAGAAAAAATGGCATCAAAATGGAACCCACAAAACATCGATTTAAAAGAACAAATTCACCAATAATTTAAAAAGTTCCTAATGTTGAAAAATGCATCTATCTTTATTGTTAGAATTCTAATAGCGATATATTAGCCGTCGGAACATGCAAACTTTTGCTATTAAGATTTCTGCAATGAAAAAATAGAGTAGTTCATTAGAAAAATACCGATCAATTCACTTATATTAATTAAATTATGAGTTGTCAAATTTCAATCAGCTTAAACGAGTCTAACTGAATTGAAAGAAAATTATGATTAAAAAACCTTTATATTGAGATCACACGTATTAGGATCCAAAAATAAAACCTAAAGATCATATATAAAACTAAAAGACGTGAATTAATCCATTGTACTGCCAATTAATATAAAATTTTGTGATTATTCACATAAAGCAACCTAGACAGAAGATTTAATATATATTGCCAAATTGGTGTGGAACAAAAGCATATCAATCATTATGGCTTTTTGTTTATGGTCTCTCTTTAGACTCGCTATAGATTCTCATTCTCTTGTCAACTTCGAACTTCAGTCAGTCATCTACTCATTTAAAAAAATAAAACTATTGGGAAAATAGAGTAATAAAGAAAGCAACATAAAGCCAGGTTTCGATTACAGATTTGTCGTCACCACAACAAATTATAAAATATCTTAGATTTACACTTTACATATAAACTTTTAGCTTATATTCCTAAATATATAATTCACTCTAAACTGTAGTTTAATACTGTTTTCTTTTTAGCATCGCCTGATTTATTTTAATTAAACTCTTATTTAATTTAACATTTTACGCATTTTTTATAATTTTAGTCAATCTTGATTAATCTTGACAATGAGACTTGAAGACTTAAAAACAAAAAACAAAAAACAAAAGAGCCAATGGAAAGTTGCAAAATATCTAATAAAGAGAAAAAAAATAAAATCATTTTTATTAATAGAAACATCCACCAATAAGGGAAAAAATAGTAATAATTAAAAACCTACATGACACAGCATCCATAAACTATGATAAGCAATTTGAGAGCTCACAAAAGTTCCAAATCACACAAACACTCAGCAATTAAAATAACCAAAACCTAATTAATTTGCTGAAAACCTCGTTGAATTAACCACGAAAACAGAGGGAATAAAACAAAATATATCGAGAAAAAAGCAGCTATTATTTTTTTTGTATATGCACGAGAATCAATAAACACAAAGGAGAAAATGATTAATGATTATTAACTCATAAACTTCTCCGAGATCTTCACCTTGTGCTACATTTGGAGATACGCATTGTACGATTCGAATTGCGATGCGTTTAGAAAACTCTGCTCCTGCAGTTTTGCCATATACGGCGACGAGGACATTCCAATGAGCGTTTCCGGAAACGCGTTTTGATTGTAAAACGCAGCCGCTGTTTCATCGTATAGCGTTTGACCTTCCCACTGATCAGACGCCTCCCGCTGGCTTCCTCCTAGTGACGGTGGTGAGCATGGTGCGTTTGCGTTTGCGGTATCAGCGGCTGCGGCATCAGGAGAGTCGGGGATGTTGACGGTGGTGATATCATGGATGCTTGATCGGCGTTTGTCTTTGCCGCCGTTGACTTGCCTTATGAAATACTTCTGAGCGTGACTCGCGACTTGCGTCGGCGTTCGTGTGGTCACGAAATTGCGAGCTATGTTTCTCCAATCGCCTTTTCCATATTTCTTCAGACCCATCAGAAATTGTCTGCACATGCATGCATTAACCAAATCCCAGTTAAACCACTAAATCACAGACATCAACTTCATGTAAGATATGAACGAAATTAAATTTCATGTGCCATGTTTACACCAATGTTTCATGTGCCATTAATTATATACATATATTATATGCGTGCGTGTCAAATAATGAACCGCAGCAAGATTCAATTAAACCAAGATTTCATCTGCGGTGTAGTTTACCAACGGACTTACAAACTCAAAACATGATTAAAAAAAAAAAGAGTAAATTATCTTTCCATATATACTGTCTTTGTTTCCCATATAGTTCGAACTTAAAAAAAAAAACAAAAATCTAAATGTACAATTTGGTTTGAAAAGTTATACTGAAAATATAGAACTACAATTAATTAGAAATGTAGCGGTTTAATTTTTTACTAGTTTTGAGTAAGGAGTAAATTAAAAGTTTGGTTTGAAAGAATGAAATTCATATTAGAAATGTAAAACGATATATATTATTATATATATGTTTCAATTGATTTAAATTCAGTCATATCCTAAATGTTGTAAGGTTAAAAAAAATGTGTAGATCATTTTTTGTGTGTGGTAAATCTGATGCAGTATAATTGTATAAACATGTATCTACGACAATATTAATGGGCGTATGTGACTGTCTCTCTGTCTAACCCACACGTCCGCAATATAGACAGGCACAGTAAAGATGCTTTAGTTTTTGGTGGATGACTGTGTATTGTCTTAATTAACTATAGAATATGTATAATTATACGTTTGATAATAGATACTCGTATCTTCATACGTATACATAAACACGTTTCCAAGAAAAAAGACGTACATAATTAGAAAGAAAAAATAGTGCAGGGTCCAAATCTAGAGAAGAAAGCATATTGACGTAATTAACAAATAGAAAGTAGAGAGATAAATTTAATTTTACCTGTGTTCTTCTTCTGTCCATGGAACACCTTTCTTCCTTTCATGCTCCGCCGCTCGTGCGGCGGATCCTCTCTTTCCTCCGGCGGCGGCGAAGTAATATCCATTCATGTTAAAACCATTGTTTCCGGCGTCGTAGCCTCCCCAATCGAGTGTGAATGAATCGGAGGCGTAACCAGGGATAGGGATAAGACCGGCTTCGATGTCGCTGACATCTTCCTCGAGCTCTCTGTATTGTTTGATCACATCTCCGATGGTTTTGCCGGGAAGCATGGCGGCGACTTTGACCCATCTGTCGGGAGTATCTTTGTCGTAAAAGGCTAAAGCGTTTTCGAATTTCTTGTTTTCTTCAGCTGTCCATTTGGTTCCTCTGTTCTCTTGGAAAAGCCAGTTTGATGTCTCTAAGTATGTTGCTGGTGACATAACTTCGATTCCTCTGTTCATCTTTTTGTGTTTTTTTTTTCTTTTTCACAGCAGAGATTTCGATGTTTGTGTTATCTCTCTCTCAATGGTGGAGCTCAAAGAGAGGGAGAGAGAAAAGTTGGAAATTTCGATCTATCAAAATGGCATTTTTCAAATGGAATCTGAGAGAGAAAGAGAGATAAGCATCTAAGCTAGAAGAATATTAGGAGGAGGAAGGAGTTAAAAAAAAAAGTGAGCTGCTTTTTTCCAGACTCTAAGGACAAGAAGAAGAAAAAGATTCCATTTTGAACTTTGTTGTCTGAATGATAAACCCCTTTTACCACCAATTTATTATTGCCAGATCCGAATCCAGAGGAAAATTAAGCCAATTCGGATGAAAAATAAGTGAGGCTTAAGAAGAAAAACAGAGGATCTGGGGATTTGGAAGCTCCCCTGAAACTGATGGAAAAAAACAAAGAGACAAGTGACAAAAAGAGCACAACCCAGATGAGAGAAATGGAGAAACTCAGGTGGTTGTGAGATTGAAGCTGTTAAAGTGCACAAAATCAACCTTTTTTCTTCTTCTTCTTCTTCTTTCCCAAACTCTCAAGTCGAAAAGGGCAGAGATAGAGAGAAGAGAGAAGAGATAGAGAGAGGAGGGAGAGAGAGAGAGAGAGAGAGAGAGAGAGAGAGAGAGAGAGAGATATGAAACAGGAATGATCTGAGAGTGAGAGGTGAGTTAAAAAGCTGTTGAGCTGTGATTGTCTATGGGTATTTCCCAGACAAAAATTTCTGGGCTTTTAATTAATTTAATGATATACGGGTGGTATTTACATAATTACATTAGAGTTTTATTATAAAAAAAAAACTATTTGCTTGATCACTCAAAGCTATCAATTGGGCTTTCCTTCGAACAAACTGTAAATGTTCGTGGGATAAAATTGAAACTGTAATTCCAGAGGCTTTTTTTTTGTAATGAATGATCCTATATCTTTGTTTCTATGTTTTTAATAGTAATTGAAACAAATATTTTGGAAAATATTGAATGTCGACAAATACGATGCTCTGAAGTCAAATAAAAACGTTAGTGTTGATTTATGTATAATATTATACTCTAATTTTCTTAGGTAAAGTATTCCACAACAACATAGTACAATAGCTATTAGTATAATTCAATCGAGATTAAAAAGGTTTCATTTCAAAGTTAGATTAGTTCTTAATAATATCAAAAACATTCTTTTTAATATATCTAATCAGAGTAGTACCTTTTAAATTCAATCAACCAATAAACACTCGTCCTTGTATAGTCTGTGATAGACCTTCAACATAAATAACGAAAAGACATGTGTCGTCTTTGAATAGGCGAGTCACACATGTTCAGATCTCATTTGTTCTCAAGGAACTTTATTTATTTTTTCATGCTTCGAGGACCGTTGATTGATTTTTTTATTTCTATTATTTATTAATTGTTTTTATAGCTAATGGGAGAGGGTTTTTGCGGCTTAAACGTAGCCTAGTTATAGGCCAAAGACGTTTAGAGATGAGCCAATCACAGACTTAGACAGGACACACAAACGAGGAACATCCCTCATTGGCTAGCAAGATTTAAGGTCGGTGCCAAGGGTAGTTTAGTCATTAGCAAATGGTGTTGACATTTAACCTTTTGGGCACATGAGTTGTTTGTTTGTATATATATCGAGATGCTTTTTTTTTTCTTTTTTCTCCGGGTAAATGATTTGGTGACAATAAAAACGTTTAATATATTTTTGGACCACAACTTCGATAGCGAAGAAAATTTGAGAATTGTGGTGTGATCTGTATATTTTAAAATTAGCATGCTAGGAAACGGAACATCATTTTTTTTTAACCAATAAATTACAACATATTCCACCACAAACTATGCTTATCTACGAAGACAGGCACACAAGCTTAGTCTCGTTCCAAAATACTTTCAATGTTAGCTACATAAATCTAACAACAACCTACACCAACTGACATAGAAATCTATATCATTGATCTAATCCTGTTAAAAAACTAAAAATAATGAATGATAACGTTGACATAGAAATCTATATCATTGGTCATTAATTTAGTTAGTCGAGGTCGAAAATCTACTTTTAGATGCTTTTATTTTTACCCATTACAAAGCTTTTTCTGTGGATAAAAGGCTATTACAAAATTAAAATGATATATTATACTGTATATATCTTATATTTTTTTTTTTATATATATCTTATATTACTGTGAGTGTTGGTATGAAATCTATTGGTATATCAAAATAAGTGCATAAGAAATGGCAATAAATTTTTAGGGCCTAGTAATTGCTAGACTAACCTTGGAGGACTATCAACGAAGATATTTTATCATACAATGATGATACCTTGCTTAATTTCTTGGGTTAACCGCAACTAATGTTCTTAACAGCAAGGAAGTAATCAAATAGAATAGTAAATATGTTTTAGTGTCATAATTACGTGTCTAAAGATAACAAGCTCGTAATAATGGAGTTTAGCGAGAGATCGAACCTTAATTAATTAACCTAGGAAATATAATCATGATGATATTCTACATTCATACTCCGTATAAAATTCCAAATAATGGTATATTAATTAATTAAGGTCTATGACATCAGAATAATATAATTTTTTATTAGAACATATATCTTAACATAACAAATTAGATTTGACACAAAAAAACAAACTAACTAGAGTTCCATTATAAAAACTTTGCTGCAATGTGGAATACTAGTTTCACTAGAATTTGAGATTAAATCTAATTTTATTATCTTGTGTGCTATATTTTGTTAAGGTGGTTTAAAACATGTATGCAATAAAAGGATTTTATTAGGATTTGAGATTGTATCTAAATTTATTATGTTTTGTGTTCTATTTTGTTTAATGTGGATTAAAACATGCATGTACTATACAGTCTATACTGTAAAAGAATTTTACTTAAAGAGTGAACCGCAATGCAAAGTTTTCGAGTAAGGCCAAACATAGAGAACATAAGAAATTAAGAATACTTCGCTAGCATAGAGATGTGTGGGAAGCTGCTTTCCGCGGGTCGGTATAACAGAAATAAAATATCTCCATAATTTCTATTTACATTGGTTTTGGATTTTGCCATTTTGAACTTTTATATAATAAGTCTTTAAAGTTTTCACACAATTAATGAAAAGAAATACTCTTTTATATTATTAAAATGTATTCTTCTCGATTCCTTCTTGTTATTCTTGAAAAGTTTATCCATATTTTCAAAACATATTTATTTATAGTTTGTGCATTCGAAACACTTAAGAGGGCTACCATATATACACAAACTGTAATTTCAATATACCTCTATATATATACTGAAATGCTAATTGATCCTTCAACTGTAACTCACAGTCTCGTATCATGGGACAATGCCTACTTTTCTGTCACTTATCAATTTTTAAACAAATAAACGTTCATGATTTATATATACTACTATATATATAAATGGGTTAGGTAGGTTAAGTGATCACGCCATAACAGACAATAATTCTCAAAAGTGTTAAGTTCCTTTTTGTATTATTGATTAACTGTATATAGCGGTATACAACTTGAGGATTATATCATGTTAATCGAATTTGAGATAGGAACTGCGCCTCGTCCACTGCGTTTTATGTTGGTGTTGTTACATTTTATGTGACAAAAACATGTTTCACTACAAACTTAGATAATATTATGAAATTCAGTTCAGAACTTGCCCACTTATTTAATAACAAACATATATATATATGATTATTAAATAAACTAAAAATGCAATAAAATCTGCTGTTAAATTCTAAGTATATATGAATTGAATAGATATCATCAGAATTAGATAGTTGTTTGTTTGATATACAAAATACTCGGATGCTCAGATTCAAAATGTATACGAAAAAATTCCATTGCATGTAGAACTATCTTAACTCCTAATAGTAAAATGAATTCAGCTATACCTACATTTTAAAAAAAAACACATGTTTAAGAAAAAATTTGTCTAAACAAAATCACTTCGGTTCAGTTACTTTCAGTTAAATATTTTTTAATCAAATCTACATCATTCAGCAACCAAACCATTATACAGGAGGTGCAATAAAAAAGTGTTTTAACTTTTAAGTAAAAAAAACTTCCAACTCCTTTAGAACGATTCTAACTGTCAATCAGATCTGTTTAATGTTAATTAGTACTAATATTCAACGGAAAGTTATCTGATGAAACGATGAACATTTGTCTTCTGGAATTTATTGAACATTAAATATCGAGATGACTTTAAAAATTTAATAGTTCTATATATTCATTTACTTTTAGAATTAGTTCATGTGGTAAACAGATCAAACATCAAGTTCGTGTGTAATTATAGACTTTTTCAGACCTAGATGTGTATAAAATATTGGACGAACATCAAGTTTATACGTTATGAAATTTGCAAGAAAATATATTATCCAAGCTGGATATTAATGGTGGCAACAGTTTTAAATAGCAATATATAGTTAATTAAATAATCTTAAAATATTTTTTTTTATGTATTCTTGAAGATGATTTTACGGATGCTTAAATAATGTTTTTTTGTTACAGTATGTGCGCTTAAATAAATTGTATTTCAAATATTATGTATCGCATATGCATATATCAATACGAAACTATACTTGTTTTAAAATTTTTCTCTACAAAGCTCTATATTTACTGAACATGTGATACCTAAGTGAATTCCTTTAAAGACAAGTTGATTATGCTTTCAACAAAATCTATTGTTAAATCAAATAATAGGGTGAACAAAATGACTAAATTTTTATGACTATATCAACAAAATTTAGTCCACTAATTAAATTAAGTTGCTGGAAAATTTACATATATAAGTATGTTTTTGACAAATACATATATAAGTAAGTATTTGATATGGAAACGCCTTAATGCTAGCTGAAAAGGAACCCAAACAACAACAACATATCAACTACATATCAACTACAAGTTTGATTCTTAATATTTTGAACGCCATCATTTTTTTTAGTTTGAAAGTTCATGCAAATTCGATATCATTAATTTAGAGAATCCATTAAGTTTTTTTAAGAATCACTGCGTAAAGATAAATAGACGACGTTCCAAAAACAAAAACAATAACTAACGTAGAAACAACGAAAAAAAAAATCTCAAACTTAGGCTTCAAACTATTTATAATATGGCAACTGCCAACTTGGGTTCAGATTCATGAATTCTTTTTTGTCAATTTACCCATCCATGCAAAACTAATTAATTGGGTACGACGTTAAGTAGCAAAGACTAAAGCTTTCCCTTCACAATATATCGAAGTTTGATAAGAGGCGCCAGCTAGTTTTAAATTGAAATTTCATTAAATTAAATAATAGTATGATGTTCTCCACATAATAATTCTTTACATATCAGAGTTGTTTATGCAAAATGTCAGAGTTGTTTGTCTACCACTCACACCCAACACACGATTATTTTATTTATTTTTCCTTCTAAATATTAATAGGTCAATAATATATTCAATAAAGTTATTATACGCTTTTTGTATTGGAGTTGTGCAAGACAATGACTGGTTTTGTTATGAATATTATTATCGAGGAGTTTCCCCAAAGGGAAAGCATCTCTTATTTCCGAATGAGGACACTTTTTTCTCCCCGGTAATTTAT